GAGCTTCAAATGCCAGCTCCCAGCAGTTTTGCAAACATTGTCGTCCGCTCAAGCGGGGAGAGTCACGCTTGAGCGTCCAAGGCACATGTCTGACCTTCAGCTCGAGCGTCCGAAGTCGCGCTCGAGCGTGAATGTAAGGCAACCAGTACTTTTGCAGACCATGGGAGTCCGCTCGAGCGGCAAAATCCACGCTCAAGCGGGGAGCCCTGTTTCAGAAACTTTGTAAAGATGTTTTGTGTTTCATTTTCCGTTCTCTTTCATTTTTAAGGACTCTTAGGCATATATTAATCATTGTAAATGAGTTAAAAGAATAAGAAAGAAGCCTAAGAGGGATGTATGAATTAAGAACGGATTGAATCGTTTGTGACCCATTATGTTCATGAAATGTGTAGGGTCAAGCACAAGGGCAAACCATCCGGCAGATCACTGTGAGTAATATCTTAGTAAAGATATTTTGAAGTATGTTATTTGTCCTATTGCTTCTTCCTATAAAAGTCTTGTAAGCTTGTTAATTTGAATTGTGGACAAATATCTGTTATGCGATCGATCGGGCCAAAGGCCGTCGGATACGAATAAATGGGCCAAAGGCCGTCGGATATGAATGATTGGGCCAAAGGCCGTCGGACATGAATGAATGGGCCAAAGGCCGTCAGAAATGAATGGATTAGGCCCGAGGCCGTTTGATATGTTTGAATCTGTAGTCACTTGATACACTAAGTAGAAATATGAATTGGGCTTAAGGCCGTTTGATGTATTTGTTTCAAACTCCGTTCATGTACCTTCTTTATTTGATATTATTCATTGGACTTTCACTCACTCTCATTCATGTGTCTGTAGGTAAGCCAAGAAACGTCCAAACCCAGCCTCAGTGAAGTATGTAAGAGACAGTCAGAGTTTTGAGGAGTCAGCCCTCATGCCTCACGCATGAGACTTGTTTTCATCCTTTTGTCCTTTTGTCCTTTTGTATATTCTTGTTATGATTGGCGAAAACATTGAATTACTTTTGTATGTAAGTTTTGTTTGGCTGACTGTATAACTGAAAGTTCCTGAACATAGATTAACTCTATGGGTTTGTGATGTGTGAGTTTTTATAAAATATTTTTGGAATGATTTTGCTTCTTCATGTAAGCACAGCTCTATGGACAAAATTTTCAAGTTGCTTCCATTTGGCCCCTTAACTCTGATGGAGTATATTTTACTTGGTTTGAGGCTGCAGATAATCCCTTGATTACTGGCCAGTTATGACCTTAATCCACAGGGCGGGTTCGGGTCATGAAGATAGTGATTGTTAGGCCTCGTTTGGCAAGTGGCTTTTTTAGTTAAGAAGCCAAAAAGTTACTAAAAAAACAAAAAGGCCAACAACCTATACCAAAAAGTCAAAGATTCCTTTTTCTCTCTACTTTTTGCACATCTTTTCATAAAAAGCCAAAAAATCATCCCAAACATACTAGTTTTTTTTATATCATATTTTAGCCAAAAAGCTAAAAAATACTAAAAAAGCTTGTTCCAAAACGAGACCTGAGAGTGGGTTTGGGATTGTGATCCCCAATTATCTCTTCTTCATTGTTCTTCATTTTTTCCACTGTTGGTCAATTTGTTGCTTGCTCTCAACTGCAGAGAGGCTTGCAAGCACTAAAAAAAGAAAATAACAAAAAAAATACTACTGCTAAGATGAAATCACTTGTCCTTTAGCTGTAGTGGGACACATACTTTCGAACAAAAGAGAACCTTTCTCAAGAGTAAGCAGATGCAGTGCATGTGGCTAAACAGTGAATGGAGTTTAGAATAAGGGAATAATGAGTCAAGTTTGTCATAAGAGATATTGCAAATAGGTACATTTATGAGATGGATGAGGACTCGTTTTGCTACAGAGGTATCATATCGCATTGAGGATGCCTTGAAAATCTTTCCAAGCTAAGCCACAAGGGATAAAAGTTGTTGGTTGAAAGCACACAGGTAATAAATGGGCTTGTTCTCAAAGGCAAGGTGGAAAAGGCATTGTCAACAAAAATGCCCATCTACAAAGCGCCAAGAAACACTAGTAACCCAAGTAATCACTCTAATGCATGTTCTTTGACTAGATCAATGCATGTATAAACCCTAAAAAGCTCCCAAAGAAGAACTTTCATCTTGACGTGATTAAGTGAATGTGTATTTGTATTTGGGACAAGGGGAGAAGATGAATTTTTCCATCTCTACAGTGAGGATCTCTCTCTCTGTATATATATAATATATATATGACAACAGTAGTTTTAAGCTATCTAGATGTGGCAATTGTTGCCAAGGTGTAGTCCAGTGTTTTTAAAGGCTCAAGGCGCACTAAGGCGCTGAAGGTCTCTCGGGGCCTAGGCGCAAGGCGAGGCGCGAGCTTTATTGAAATAAGGCGCACAGTCTTCGCAAAAAATAGAAAAATTAATATAGAGTGTTTTTAAACAATTTCAGTATAATGTTTAAATTAAATAACAATTTTAGTATAATTATTTAATTCATACATACATAAATAAAAAAAATAGATACATAAATTAATTAATTATTATGATTATTACATACATAAATAAATAAATAAATTAATCCATAAAAAGGTGTGCTTTCAAAAGGCGTGCCATCAAAAGGCGTGCCCAATCTTTCAAAAGGCGTGCCTAATCTTTCAAAAGGCGTGCCCAATCTTTCAAAAGGCGTGCCATCAAAAGGCGTGCCCAATCTTTCAAAAGGCGTGCCCAATCTTTCAAAAGGCGTGCCATCAAAAGGCGTGCCCAATCTTTCAAAAGGCGTGTCGTCTGGCGTCAAGTATCTGCCTTGGCTATTTAACCGAGGCTGAGGCTGAGGCTGCCTTGGCTAAAAAACTCTCTGTAATACGCTTCGTTTTCGGAGAGAGATAAAAAACTCTGAAAAAACTCTGCCTTGGCTAAAAAACTCTGAAAAACGCTTTGTTTTCGGAGAGAGATACTCGGTAACACTCTGTAATACCCAGAAAATGGCCTCGTCTTCCCGTGGTCTGCTCACTCTCTTTCCCGACCTCAATGAGTCAACAAGAGAGATAACTGGTGCGGTGGCCAGTGAACCTCAACCAAACACCTCTGATTTTGCTCCGTTGAACTTTCCGATGCGGTCTGTGGAGCGAAAAATGGCAGTGCAAACCGATATTGAGGCCAATCAGTATACATTGAAGTCATGTGTGGAGACCATGACGGCGGTCACAAACTTGTCGCACCGGCTTCAGAGTAGGACAAATGAGGTGCAGCAGTTAAACGCCCAACTGGCTCTGCTCCAGCGCATGTATAAGGATGCGCGAGCAGAGATAAGTGTGCTAAAGGCGGAAAATAAGGAGCTGAAGCGGAAGGCCACCGTGATGTGCCGATTTGGAGGTCCGCCATATGCTGCAGTGGAGGAGCAGGGAGTAGTGATCGTGCCCAGTGGAGTGGGAAACACGGAGGCAACACCGTCAAGGGCCGCTCAGGACGGAGGCAAGAAGAAGAGACCGGCAGCAGAGTAGAGAAGGGAAAGATGGTGATCTTGTGTGGTTTTTTTTTTGTCTTTTTTGTTTTTTTTTTCTTTTTTGTTTTTTTTTTTGTTTTTTTTTTTTTGTGGTTGTGGTGTAAAATGTGGATCGGGGTGAATCCCGGAGATGAATAAAATATGGTTTGTTGTGCAAATTGGAAAATGGTTTTGGGTTTTTTTTTATTTTATTAATATAGCACAATTTTTAACATAAGTAAATATTTAATATGTATATTATTAATTTTTTTTTAATAAGAAGAGAAGAGAAGAAGAAAAAAAATCATTAATTTTTTTAATATATATAGTATTTTATTTATTTCTTAAATTTTAAAATTTTTTTTATAAATATTTTTATTTTGAAACATATATATAATTTATTTTAAAACATATATATAATTTATAAAGGTATATATATAATATATAAATAAAAACATATCATATATATAAATATAATTTATAAAAACATAAATAAAAATATATAATAAAAATAAAAAATAAAAAATAAAAAGTTATAATAATATAATATAAATTATAATTTATACTATACATATATCTATACATATATATAGAAACAGAGTCGAAGAGAGAGAGAGAAGAGAGAAACAGGCAAAGTGAGAGAGAGAGAAGGCGAAGGCGAAGGTCGATGGAGGTCGTCGGAGCTCGTCGAAGGTTGATCGAAGCTCGTCGGAGGTCGATCGAAGGTCGAAGGTTGTCAATCGACTGTCGAAGCTTCAAACTCGACTGGTTAGGGCAAACTCGAATGGGTATCCACTCTTCTCTTCTCTCCAGTACTCCTCTCTTCTCTCTTTCTTCTCTCCTGTGTCCCTTGCCGTGTCCCATACCTGCACAAAAAAAACAAAGGGACACGCCGAATGGGTATCCACTCAGAAAGCCGAGGCGCACAAGGCGCTCGCCTTGCACTTCGTAATAAGGCGCTCGCCTCATCGCCTAGGCAGCGCTTCACCTATGTCGCCTCGCCTCACCATGCCTGAGGCGCAAAGCTGCGCCTTGCCTCGCCTTGAGCTTAGGCGTGCGCCTAAGCGCGCTTTTTAAAACACTGGTGTAGTCAAGTTGCAATGCCATCAGCACCATTGATATGGATTACCAATTTTACGGGCATTATGAAGTGTACATTATTCTTCATTACTGTCTTCCCTAATCCTGTACACTTAAAACCTGTTGTGAGATTATTAGTCGAATCCCATGCACAGTCCGGCCAAACAAAGGTGGCATATGTGATTCTATTTCAAGCATGGACAACACTAGCACACACATGCACATACAAAAGCGAAAATAACAAAGTGCGACAAACATATCAAGTGAAACACTGAAAAGGTGAGACTTAAGAACAATGGACAAATATTAAGTGGTATATAGTTTACATTACCTGTGTTGGCAGCAAGCAAAAATACTAGAACAGAATTTAACAATCACCATTATCTCAATACCAAAAACTATTGGCCTCCTAGTGTACCAACTAGTTGCATAAGAGGAAATTATACCTGAAGTCTCGGATCCTTCGTCCATGAACCTCAAATACACCTAGTGCACCATTTACCAGAGCAAATGCAAAACTCTCAGAAGAGTCATCCTGTGATCCATCTGAGCTCATGCTCTCTACAAATAGAAGTCACTTATATGCATGAACAATTTTGTACATCCAGGAAGATCAATTATATACCTATTGATCAACCACAGTAAATAGCATGTAGCATAACAAAGTCAAACAAGCTCACTAGAATCGATTGAAGATGCTTTTGTTGGGGAAGATGTCTCAGCAGTTGTCATAGCTGTACGATCTTTGGATAATGACCATTGCCTAGAAGGTCCATTTTGAACTGGTCGTGGAACTGTTGGCAGAGTCCATTCTAATACAGTGAATGGAAGAGCTAATGATCTAAGCTACATGGAGCAATAAAAAATAATAAACATCTAGAAGAGGATTAAATACTTTTAACAAAACATTAGGCAGTCTCATATATGTGTGTATACATATTTGTACCTATGTCACGTGGACTCGAGTATGAGTATCAGGTGCGATTACGTGTTTAAGCATCAAATTTTCCTAAAAAGCAGATTATGCATCCAAAAAGTTGGGTGCGGGCACAGGCATGTATCTTAAGCACTTGTATATATTGCATTTGTATTATATTCTTAGATAAGATGTTATAAATTATTTAGAAGAAAAAAAAAATGATAAATTATAAATTATTTAGAAACATAATTCAAATTAAATGGGATTTGGGAAAAATATGAAATTTATATATTCCATTTCTATGAGAAGCAAGAAATGTTTCTTTACTAGCAAATGTAGACATTTTCTTCTTCAAACATCTTATAAAATTAGAGGATCCAAGTGTCTAAATCGGGGTATGGGACACATCTCCCACACACTTACCCTAGTCATATCCAGTGAACCCATTAACATAAATTTTTACTACAAATGGCACATTCACTCATGAACCAAATTAGGAGACTCCAGATGAAATACATTAACATATAAATTTACAAACAAAAGGCATAATTACTCAATATCAGAACATTTAAAAATGAAAATGACAGCTCTAAACCTCCTTAACCAAAATTTTAGTGTGTGACCAAAATTTCATCCTTTTCCATCCAAAAATATAAAAATCACAATTTCAATTTCATAGCTTCAAAATTGACAACTGACAAGCATTGGCGCATGCAATTGAAACAGAGTAAGATAATGCAACTACCAGACCCTTTAAATCCATTGACCTCACAGACAAATTTGGAGAGAGAGAGAGATTATTATTTACAAAACAAAACATAACATAATCTGCTTGAGGTGATTGATTTGCTTGTTAAAGGAGAAAAATATTAGTATTTATTCACAAATAAGGAAATGAAGGCAAACTAAGTTACAAGAGATCCTTCCATTTCTACTGCATTCAAGTATTCAACCACTTTGCTATTTCAATCCCATAGAAGTGCACCCACGTTGGAGTCGCATGAACATGGTCATGTTCTATCATGTCCTTTATTTTCTGGTTGCAATGGAATCCTAAAGATGTTTGATGCTATTTCTGAGGTTCTTTCAACATTGTACGACAATGGAAAGAACAAAGAAATTGCCTATACGTTGTTAAATACCTATCTCAAGTAAGGACTTTTGTCATTTGGTGCAGCCTTTTCCTCTTAACAAAATCTACCTCTAATATGTATCAATTCAAATGCAGTGCCAGGCATAGTTAGACAGGTTACAAAAACATTGGCAACTAATAGGCCTGTTACCAGATTCCTCCATATCATGTATGGAAAACCTTCAGAAATAATTGCATTTCCAAAATGTAGTTTTTCCTAAAGGAAACATCAGAAACTGGATTAACTGACTCGTGTTCTTTGGTTTTCACTTTTCATAAAATGGCCACCAGCAGATGAAAATTTTTAACCCAATGAATAAGATTAAATTAAATCAAGACTAAAATAAACCAGTTCTTTCCCACAGCTTTTGAACTTTATTTGCTTTTTTAATATCCTCTCTATAGAAGAATCCATAATCTTCCATTAAAACAGTTGAACTGCATTACTTCTGGCTAAGAAATCTCATGATATAGCTTTTTTCACAAGAATACAAAGGACGAGGAAAGAGAGTCTTGTCCTCTCTAAATAACAGATGAAACTTTCAAATTACAGACTACAACAGCAAAGTACAATTAAAAACAACTATCTTGAGAAGAAAAAAAAAAAGTAAGATGTAAAGATCTAGGAATTGCATGAAAACAGTGCAATTTTCTTAGACAGCACATCAAACTCATGTTCAGCCTTATCACTGTGACACATCTCCAACAATGCCAGGAAAACGCAAGTTAGATGTGTTGGCTGTTATTCTAAAACAGTTAATCTCTAGATTAACGTGAAACGAAAATTTAATGCACCAACCTGAAACAAAATCATAACTCAAACTTGCTGTGTTCACCCGAAATGATATTAAAAACGAAAGAAAATGATTATAAAAAGAATGATTTAGGTTTGAGAATGTGATTTTAGATATGAAAGAAGCCACTTGATGTAAAGATGCCAAATATCAGGTTTGTACCCAATCTATTCCTCCCAGTACCCACAGGCCTTTCTATAAATCTCGCAAGAAGAATTTTTCTTCAACAAAGTGCAGAATTTACTATTTGCCAAATTCAAAATTCAACACTAGTTTAAGTAGTTTATTTCATTCCGTTCAGAGCATCTCCAATGCACAATTGCTATATTGGAATGCTATTGCTAAATTATAGCACTGCTACAATGTCAGAATGTCAAATTATAACAATCCTGCTCCAATGCACAAATGCTATATTTTGGCAGAATCACTTTTCCCTCCACTTTCACCCTTTCCAGTGTCGACACCACACAACTCAATTTCATGACTTTCCAGTCAATTTTGATGTCATGAGTTCGTGTCGACACCACAGCTCAATTTCATGAGTTCCCAGTGTCGACATTTCATAGTGACAACAAAAATAAAAACTAAAAAAGATTTTTTTGAATTTTAAAAAATTATTTGCGCTTCTACAAAAAGATAAAATCATATAAAAATTATAATTTTTCTGCTTTTGTTCATATTTTTTCACCTAATTAGTTTGTATTTTTTTAAAAAAAAAAATTCTCCACTTTTTTCCTCTCTCATATTTGCAAGTATGAATACATACAACATATATATATATATATATGTATGTTTCTTAGTGTACATGTGAGTATAGCAAATATTTTGTTTTGTTGATAATTTTTTTTTTTTTTTTTTCAGGAAGAGAGATGAATAGTGGTTGATCGATGAGTTAGCAGATTAACCTTGTGCCAAATTTGGCACAGGGTATGCAATGCTAAAATTTGGCAGCTTGAGTGGCACTGCATTGGAGCTCTGTTTTTTAACCAAGCTGCTATATCACAGCAATAGCAGTTCAAATGGAAGCTGCATTGGAGATTGTTCTCAAGATTCAAACAAGCCTAGAAAATCTAATATTTCTGAAAATAAAACCAGCAATGAATTATATAAGCTCCTAAGACCTCTTACAAATACCCACAGCTGACTAAGGGCAATTCTTAAAGTAGATTTTACGTAATATATGGAAGAGAAAATGTTTCGGCCAACTTACCATTATTGGAGTCTTTGTCATTGCCCACACTTCTACAGGTGCATCACGAAATAAAATCAAAAGATACCTACAAATTTTGTCATCATAAAAACTATTATCACTACAAGCTGCTCAAGAAGTTGTTATAAGTAATCATGAGGATAGCTTCAGGCAACAAGAAAAAAGAAGATGCAGCTTCAACAGGAAATTAAACCAAAAATGAATCAGTACTTTACCCCAGCCAACCGGGCCTAAATAAGTATTATAATTATACTGAATTCATAGCTTGAAAACGAAGTTGTTATGAAGTTATAACATAATAAATGGTATTTCTAAGTTTGGTTAAGATTTTTTTAGTGTTTGTTTGTAATAAATCTACTTATTCTTGCAAAGCAATTCATTCACCTTGAAATTTTCTGACAATATTTAAGTATTGACCTTTTCATATACATGGGATTTAACATGTGACAAACACTTCATGCAACTAATACCAAAGGTTGAGACCACCAAATTTAACTTTCCCAGCAGCCACATTGACCAAACAAGCGGGTAACATCCTTTGTTTATGCAACATTTATTGGCAAACATCCCTATGCTACTCCTATGATATCCACCAGCTTAAACTGTAATGGATGAGTATCCATTAGCTTAATATTAAGAACAAATGAGATCATTCCTCCCATCTGACAGATAAATCACTTATCCTGTAAAAAAATAATTGATGTATATTATTGATTGATTGTTTACAAGATTGTTGTGTATATTGATATTTTGTTATGTTTACAATGATCAAATATATAGAAGAGAAGAAGGTAGTAGTCCTCCCATATCCACTGTAGATCTTACCTATATGAAATAGGTACTAACCTGCAATACCAATTTTGATATCAATATGAATTTTTACATCATTGCCTTTCCCAACCTGAGAATTATCCGGTGACTAAAAAGCACTTTGTCTCCTACTAACATTCTAGGTAAGATATCCCTAACAGTTTCTGATCTCAGCATCTGGTTTAGGATCCACAGTGAGACACTTACTTAGATGTAGAAAATATGAAAATCAGTGTTATCTATTTAAGCATATGAGGACATCATTGAGTAATACCCAAGAGATGGCTGACCTGACTTGAAGTTCTATAGGTTATGCATATTGAACAGCTGTAATTCAAGATGTAAGAATTTTCAATCGAACAAACTTTTACTTATCACAAATCATGAAAGAATAAAAAAAATAGAAGAAAAACAAAAAAAGAAGTGATTGAGATGAGCATCATAGCACAAACTGTATGATTCAATGTATAATTCTAAATTTTTTTTTTCTAGAAAATAAGTCCAATCTCTCTAGCTTCTCAAAGGTATATGTATTTGTCAAATCACTAGCATATAAAGGAGCACAACTTAACATCCTAAGAAGCCAAGTTCTGATTTTGTTGTTAGTTTAATGTTTTATTTGTTAATGAGTCATTAAATTCTTGTTGGAGTGTTTTGATCATTGTGCTTCGTGTTAAAAGGTGATGTGATTTTAAGTAGTCATGTTACGGCTAGGGGAAGATTACTCACCTTAATCAATTTTATTTCGGTAGATAAAATAATAGCCCGTAGAAAAGATTTAAATGAGTTGAGAGACCTTAAACCCTAAAGAGTTGTAAAGGGTTGTTCCAATTTGCATCAGCAGCCTTTTTTACCATTGTTTATGAAAGTTTAGTATGCTACAACAGTTTTTTTCAGACTCCCTAGGGTATGGGACTGAGAGGTGGGTGTTTAAGCATAACCTTTTAGCTTAATACTATTTAATAGCTTGATATACATCTTGGGCCTATTTCCTAACAGCTTAAGCTTTTGGGACTAGGGGTGACTTAACATGGTATCAAGGCTAGATACCTGAAAATGGGAAGAGTGTGTGTCCTAGCCTGCACACGGGAGGTGCTACCAAGTGAGCACACTATGCATGATAGAGAGTGTGAAGTAAAGTCCCACATCGATTGGGTACAAAAGTAATGTGAAGTATATAAGTGTGACGACCCCGACACACGTATTATTTTTATTTGTTATTTTAGTGAGCATTATTGCATGATTAAGTGTTTAATTGTGCTTATCTGTTGGTTTGTGAATTATCTGTTAGATTACCGACTTAGAATTCGAAATTGAAAGCCCAAATGGATTCAGAAACCGAAATTGACTAGTTCAATAGGTTAATTGAAATATTTAGAACCATTTGGTAAGTTTAATTAAAATTTGATTCGGATCAAAATAATTAGAATAAATTGATTAAGATTAGTTAGACTTAAGCCTAATCTCATTTAATTAGCCTAACCTAATTAAGTATATATATATGGGTAATATAAGCTCTATCTTCTACACATTGAGCTGAAATTAAAGAGTGAGTTGAGAGCTCAACACTTTAGAGAGAGAGGGGGAATTCTAGAGAATTGAAGAAAGATTGAAGGGATTAAGCGATCAACATCAAAATTCAAGCTCTAGGTATGGAATCCATCCATAATTCTTAAAGACAATTCAGGTAGAAATTGAATTCACCAAGTTGTAGGATCATTTGCATGTAATTGGAAAGAAAATGTTAGAAACAACTTGAATATGGCAGGAATGAGCCAATTGTATACATGCATGCATTAATTTGCCAATTTTGAGTTTGATTTCCAAACATTCATACATGCATGAGGCTAAATTTACCATCTTTGAAGGTTCTACATAGTTTTTACACTTCTCATCTTTTTATATTAGTATTTTGAAAAGAAAAGAGTTGAATTAAACACATGCATGGTGAGAATTATGAATTTTGGGTTTGATTTTGAGAATTGGCAAAGGTTTTGAACTTATGATTTCAAATGAGCTGTGTTTTTGAGTCTTCTAAAAGAGTTTCTATGCTTTTGGGTCTGGCCATGCAAGCTTTGAACATGAATAATGCATTATTGAACTTCAAATTATGCTTTGGAAATTTCAGAATTCATTTACTTCGCTCGAGCGATAAAGTCATCGCTCGAGCACACTTTGCATACTTTCAGTATTTTTGCAGACTTTTGCAGTTGGCTAGAGCGACCAAGTGTGCGCTCGAGCGAACTCAACTTTGCATTGCACTTGGCTTGAGTGAACATCGAGCCTACTTTGACACCATCTAGTACTTTTGCAGTTAGGCCACACCACTCAAGCGACCAAAGATGCGCTCGAGCAAAGACCCTATTTTTAGCAATTTTTGGCAAACACTCTTAAGTGCATATTTGTATCCTCATGCTCTTTTAGACATTCTTAAGCATCATTTAGACATCCTTATCCATGGAATAAGTTAAAAACTCACGTAAGAGAATTGAATTATGATACGCTATCTGCTAAGAACGTGTGCTTCAATGTGTATCTCTATTATGTGTTAGTGTATGTGGTTATCCGAGATCCGACACCTGTGCCAGCCTAATATGAGTAGTATCTCTGTAAAGATATGTTATTAAAATGTATTTTGATTAACTGCAATAAGTTAAAAACTCAAGTAAAAGAATTGAATTATGATACGCTATCTGCTAAGAACGTGTGCTTCAATGTGTATCTCTATTATGTGTTAGTGTATGTGGTTATCCGAGATCCGACACCTGTGCCAGCCTAATATGAGTAGTATCTCTGTAAAGATATGTTGTTAAAATGTATTTTGATTAACTGCAAGAATGTTATTTTGAAGTACTATTTTGATAAAAATGAATGATTGTCTCTTTTGAAAGTAATTGTGGCATTCTTTAGTGAAGCCCTCACCTACCATGGCTCTTTGCTATAAGGCCCTTGCCTGAGAGAAACAATACCATGGCTATTCGTAAATAAGACCCCCGCCCGAGAGAAACAATACCGTGGCCATTGGCTATAGGTGCACAGAGATTTCTGATGTTGACCCAAGTGGTCCCTTTGCTGACCTATGCGGTCCCTTTGTTAAACCCATATTGTCCCTTTGTTATGCCTTCGGGCCTTTTGCTTTGCACTATTGGATGTACCACATATGAGCATGATTTGTGAACTTCGATATGACAAGTACTTAATTATGCTTTGCTTCAAAATTCAAATGATATGATTTTGCATTATGATAGACATCATTCATTTAACCTCTTTATACTGGTATTACTCACTGACCTTTAGCTCACCCCCTTCCCCTATATATATGTAGTTGAGCATTCGGAGCATCAAGTTTAGAAAAGCCTAGGAAGCCCACCTTTTTGTGAAGCCGCTTTGAAGTGCCTCCGTGACAAGGCGTGCTTGGACTCAAGAGGAGTTGAGCATTGTCAACCCTTTTCGTTTGTTTCCTTTGTTATTTGGAAACTTGATATGTATGGATTTTTTGTAGAAGTGTCTAAGATGTTGTGATGTATCTATGTACTTATATCTTTGTAAAGAGGTTGAAGTTTTTAATATCATGGAATTTGCATATATGCACCGCTCGATGGACAGAGTTATGTTTTAATAATGCTTCTGCAGTGCCCGTACATATATTATTAATTATCTATTTTGTCTTTGAGGCTGGGTAATCTAGGATTACTGGCCGGTCGCGGCCTAAACTTTTAGGGGCAGGTTCGAGTCACGACAATAAGTGTGAGCACGCCCTCACCTCAATAGCTAGTTTTTGGAGTTAAGTTTTACCCAAGACCGTATAACATGATATCAAAGCTCCAGCTAGGGGAAGTCTTGGATTCAAGTCTATGTTTGCATTCTTTCTTCAGTTATTTGTATTGTTTTCTTCTTTCTATGTATGGATGTTTGTATCATCACACGCAAGACGAGGTTGCATGTGAGGGAGGGTGTTGAATAGCTTAATATATATATATATATACATATATTTTGGCCCATTTCCTAACAACTTTAGTTTTTGGGACTAGTGGTGACTTAACAAATACTGCTCTCTAATCTCCTTCCTTCCTGTTTTAATCTTCTTTCATAAGCTTTTTCTGCGTAATTTATTTATTTTTCTTCCAATTAGCTAGTTATGAATGTTGGCAATTAGTTTTGCATGAACAAGAAGTAAGGGAGAAACAAGTAAAAGTAAAAAGTATTTGAATTAGTAGACTATGACACCTTCCAGATGATGAAGCCCTTAAAGCTCTTATGGGTGCACGCTCTGGCTTTTGTAAAACCCGAAATGGTCGATTAAGGCCACTTCTGACACAGGTCACAATAAGTCTATTGATATAGCCTCCTGTTTTTTCACTCCCCTGCAACATCAAAGTATCATTGTATGTAACAGGGTATAAAAAGAAGTGATAATGAAACAAATTAAGCCATCAGAATTACTGAGAACCAATAATAAAAACAGCAAGACGGGTAAGAATAGGATATATACATGGGAAAAAATATAGAAATATTAATTGGACTGAAATGATGTCTTAAACAGAATGACTTACCTGGGTATAGGAGAATGAAACAAGTCTAGAATTTCCAAGCCACCGTAGCCCCCGAACAGTACTATTATGAACAGAGAAACTCGCGGCAACAGCATTAGCAGAGACATCAATCACATCAATTGTACCATTTTGAGTTCCCAAAGCAACTAATGGAACAGCAACAGCAGGATAGTTTCCCCCACCTTCACATGCAAATTCTCATAGATAAACTGATGACTCCAGTATTTCTAACTCATAAATGTATCTTATTAAACATGGTACTCAACAGAGGGAAGAAAAAAATAACAGACAGACAACTCACGGGCCAAAGTAGCTGTTAAAGAAGGTGATGGTACAGCCAGCATAGTCACTGTAGAAGAAAGAAGATGAAGTTGTCCCACTAAGCAAATCTGCATCAGTAATTCAACCTTCAAGTAAACAAGGATGACCAAAAAAAAGTATTGAAACAGACAAAATGCTATTCACTACTGTTTGTCCTTAATCATGAATTATACAGCAATGAGCGACATACAAAACCAATTCTGCGCTGCTCAGGCAAAAACTGGACACAAAATCAAACAAATCAAAAGCTATGCCATATAGCCCAGATAAAATAAGGGGAAAGGCTGAAACAGACCAAGAGGGCCCACCACCTCCTGCCTCCAACCTTGCCAAGGCAAAAGGCACCATGCATGAAACTGTGTCCTTTCGGCAACTTGGCTTTTGTAGAGGTTTTTGGGCTTTTTGACTTATTTATGAAGTGAAAAAAATTAATGTGTTTGGAAATGGTTTTTTTCATTGGAAAGATAGTTGTGAGGAAAAAAATGATTGATTAATGTGTACGATGATGTGAAGTTTTGCTAATGGGGTTGAATTTATTGGCTTTTAGGCTTTTTTAGCCAAAAAAAAGCTCTTGCCAAACAGGGCATGAGTTTGCTCCGCTGAATTTTGATGACAAGACATCAGATCTCACAATTAGATTATTGGAGAATTACTGCAGATCTAATTCAAGGTAATCCAAAATAGTCATAATTTCATGCATCATACACGAGAATTAGCCAACAAGTTTTTCCAGCCAACCTTTTTTTTTTCCAATTCAACCAGAAGCCAATCAAGTTTGTTCCAAGTGAAACAGTAAACAGTATAGTAGTACACCAATAACCAAAAAAAAATGTTTATAGTAAAAATGCAAAGACATAGGTACAGGTAAAGAAATAGAAATAATTAAAATTTCAAGATTGTACTCTGTTCATGCTGACAATAAAAAAACCATGAAACTGGGAGGATGAAAATACATGTTTTGGTATATTAGAGTAAAAAGGCCATTTGAATATGAGAAAGAGTCGCAAGGCTTAAACTAGTTACTAGTAATACATCTACCCAGTTAAGTGTTGTAAAAGTCTCAATGATGCAGGCGATCCATGTACCTCAGAAACTATTTAAATGCCTTTCAGGAATTGTACATCTACCCCAAGAATATCAAAGATAAAAGGCTACTTTTGCCCATCACTACTGGCTTCTTTTTTTTAATGATTAGGCTTCCTTTGAATTTTGTCAAACTGATGATTTTTCACTCCTTTGTGACACATATCCAGGGATTTTTCAAAGACTCGCAGAATAGTAATTTTTTTTCTTTTCTATTGGTCAAATGTCAAATTCAGATGCTCATAGACAAAACATAAATTTGGCCTAAGAACTAGAAAAGTTTCCATATGTTCATGCTTCTAATGATGTAGCGTAGTCATCATGCGACAACAATGAACTGTCAATATCCAGCCAACAAAAAGAAAAAAATTCCAGTACTGATCCGTCAAAAACTTTTCTCAACCTTAAATGACATCTCTTCAAGGCTGAAAGTTGAGCTTCGTGCACGGTTGCCAATGATATTAACATTATTTAGTCGGTGAAATGCATCTACTTCAGGTTCATCAGCAGAAGAAACACCAGTGCTCAACTTTGTCTCTATACCTGGCACTTCACTACCTTCATCAACAGTGCCAGCGTTTCTTGCATCCTTCTGTGCATCTCCAGGTCCTTCAGCGGTCAGGAGCCAGTTCCAAATTTTTCCATCATCAGAAATGGATAGCAAATGTATCTTAGAAATGAGAAGAGATTCATCACAAAAATCAAGAGGAGTATCAAAATCCTCATCAGGGGAAGAAGTATGAGAAATATCGGAATAAAGCTTGGCAATATTTTGAAGGATGGAATCTGATTGGGAGATGACAACTGCAAGAACAGTGGGAGAAGGGACAGATGTGCCAATTGAGGGGATCAATTCTTCCATCATACACATTATGTGAACCTGTTCTCCTCTGTGATAATATGAAAATAAGTACATTATCTTAATTCAAGCAAACAATACACTTTTTAAGTAGCTTTCTCATATATGCGAAGGGAACACATTTTTTTAATCAACAAGAACTGCAAAGATGTCAGATATAATTTCCCAAGCTTCCAATAAAAAAAATAACGCACAAAGTATAGGAATCAATACTCCATTTAACAAACAGCAATTCACAATGCTCATGCTGACAGTAATAAATAACCTACTACCATCGTATCATACAAATCTGTTTGAGTGACCAGATATTATATCAAGTTATCAACTTGTGTAACTTATCCAGGAAGAACCATGATTTTAAATTTCAATTACATTCCGTAGAGTTAAAAGAGTTAACTCATTCAAAAGTGAATCATTTCTTATGAAACACAAACTGATATTTTATTGTTAAACTTCAAATAACTTCCACCACTTGTCCCTTTGGCAACTAAACGTTGGCCTGAAATTGAACTTTAAAATTTCTTAGATTGATATTTATTGAAAAAATTACTTTCAATCTATATATAAATAATCTAAATGACTCCAAAAATACATTCCCAATGCACTTTTGTGGATAAACAATAATTATTTGAGAGAAAGAAATGGCAAAGCCATAAACATGTAGACTCCTTTCACAACAAAAATATATATATTTGAGCTCCTGGCAAATGAAACATCACAACACTGGTGTAGAATGCGTAAAAAAACTATTCTTTTTTTTTTTCTTTTTTTCTTTTCTGTGTGTGTACATGTGTTCAAATCTCTCATCTCTTTTTATTTTTTTTTTTTTTTTTTTTTTTTTTTTTTTTTTGGACAAGTAACAAAACTATTCATTTAATAAAGATATTTGTTAACTAGAAAATATTTGTAATTGGGCATCAAGGAAGCAACATGATTCAGACAACTCAATAAATCAAATTCTTTGAACATAAGAAGAGATACAGTTATATATACCTACACACATAGACATGCATGCAAGTATGCACATAAAGATACTACAAAAAATCTCATGAATATAAATACATTAGAAGAAAAATCTTCCTAGATTTTATTATTGTTAGTGATAAGGAACTGCTGTAATTTTGTGTTTATTTGATATAAAAACATGGGTGTTTGTTGGGAAATTCTATTTGCAGACCACACAAAATCTCAGTACACACCATTTGTGTCGTTCAGATATAACTTCCGAACAAAAGTCAAATGGTTGGACATAAACTTCCGAATAAAAATGAAATGTTCAAATATACATTCCGTTCATTCATTTGTTTATGTCCGAACAACTGTTTTTTGTTCGGAAGTTTATATCAAAATATTTGACTTTTGTTCGAAAACTTATATCCGAAGGGCATAGATAGTGTATGCTAAGTGGTTGTTTGGCATGTGCTAAAATAGCATAGGCTATTTTAACACATTATCCTATTTAGGTCACAATCATCTTATTTAAGTCATATAACCTCTCTATCACATCACTTCAAATCCAACCCATATTTCACATTTTTTTGTACAAAAACAAAAAGTATACTAATCTAACACTTCCCAAACAACCCCTAAGATTTTTTGTGATGTGCGAATAGAACCACCCGTGTTCATTGGGACAAGTCAATTAACTTAGACCAAAAGACCCTTTCTTGTTTTTGCTTTCTCTTCTCTTTTCTTCGTTTTCCTGGATTGACTCATCATGGAGAATCTCATGATGATTTTCCATAATTTTTTGAAGCGGTAGGCACTTTCTACTTTCGAATAATTTTTGGGATTTTCATATCCGATTTTGATCTTCTTGCTAGAGGATTTGGGTGATGTTTGGCTTGATTAAATCCAATCTATGGGTGCGTGCCGACTAAGACTCCCAAAGGCTCTTAGAGCAATTTATTGCAAAAATAAGGTTTTCTTTTTTTTGTTTTGGTCTTTTTGTCTTTCTAGTCGGTCAACCGTGGTTTTTTTGCCCTGTTCCTACCTATGAAGCACGGATATTCCAAAAAAAGGTTACATAAGCATATTCGATAAGGATACAATTCCCATACAACCGAATACGTATCGGATACGACTAAAGAGTATCTAAAAATTATTTTTTATTTTTTCAATTTCGGATAGGTCTCAGATATGAGAAGTATACGTTTTGTATACAGGATGGATACATTCAGCATACAACAAAGGCCAAAACATAATTTTTGAAAGACTTTAATAGGGGTCATATATAAAGTTTCAAAAATTATGTTTTGGCATTTGTCATATGCCGAACGTATCCATCCTATATACAAAACTTATACTTCTCATATCTGGGACCTATCCGAAATCGAAAAAATAAAAAATAATTTATAGATACTCTGTTTCTTAGTTTCCTCTTCATAAGAAAATCTGAAAAATCTGGAAAGCGGTTGTTGTTTCTCATAAAGTGAAATTTTTCATGTGGTCCTTAGCTCAAACGGGTGTCACAACCAATGATCTTTTCCAAAGGCCGCGGCCTAATCACTCTCTGTCCTCAATGGTGTGTGATGTGCAAGAGGAATTCGGAATTGGCGGATCATTTATTGCCCGGTGACTTTTGTTTTATGGCAGCATCTTTTCAGCTTATGTGATGATCAGTGGGTTGCTCCGCGGGAGTGCATTCATTTGCTTCTTATTAGCTTCAAAGGGTTTGGCGGCAACAAGAGAGCCAAAACTATGTGGTCCTGTGTTATCTTTGCAATCATTTGAACTATATGGTTGGAGAGAAATGCTCGAATCTTTAATAGCAAGGAGGAGACAAATGCAGAGGCTTTGTGGGAGAGGGCGGAGGATTTGGCATCTTTTTGGGCATTTTTGTCTCATCCTTTTAAAGGAGTTTCTTTTTTCTTGATTTTTAGGAATTGGGCTGTTGTTTGCCATCCCTAGTGCTAGGAGTTTTGTGCCTTTTGTTTGGACCTTTTTCTTTTTCTTGTATGAAGACTTCTTGTCCTCTTTCCTTTTTGCTTGCTTTTTAATAAAATCTTTTTGTTGTCGCCCAAAAAAAAAAAAATTTGTTTAATGCAAGTAAAAAAATACCAAACATATGCTACAGCTTAAGTATTTATAGAATAATCAAATGAAGAAAAAAGGAGGGAACCTTAGCCTATATAGACAAAGAAATGAAAAAACAAAGCAGCACCATTGACCTCTATAGGTCAATCCTCCCTCTCTCTCTCACTCTTACGAAGAAGAGGAACAAGTGGCAGTTGACATGGAATATTCTTAGCTTAATATAATTGTTTTCAGCTTGCTTTTGGATTTGTCATGTGCAGAATCAATGTTTGATATTAAATAAATCAATGAACTCTTGTTTTTTATTTTCGTTTTATACATACTACATTATTAAAAATTATAAACTATATATAATTTTACAAACGTATCCTCGTCATACCCGTATTTTACTTTTTTTAAGTTTTGTCATATCTCCGTAGCTATATTGTATCGTATGGTATCCGTATATGTTCTTCCTAGGTCTCTACTCAGGCTTAAGCTTCTTTTTTTTTTCTTGTCCTAGGCTGGGTTGAGCTATTTTGACTTGATTCTTGATTGGGGTGATCTGTTTTTAGTTTGTTCTTGGTTTGGCTAGGTTGTTTTCGACTTGTTATCTGTTATCCCTGGTGTGTGGCTATGTCGAAGGTTACTGATAATACAAGAGGTTAAGGGAGCAGGTTGGGTTGTGCAAGAGCTCTACGAAATAATCCCGCCCTTCAGATTAATCTAGAAAGGTTGGATGGGAGCAACTATTTGGCATATTTGTCGAAATACCCAGCTTCATAGACTAAGAACCTATATTAACAAATATTTATCTAAGAATGCACTTGTAATGTTTTGGTTACTTAACCCTACTATTAATCTATGCTTTATAACTTCAAACAACCTAAAAGGTTTGGATTGTAGCAGCTCAGACATATTGTCAAAGAGGTAATAATGCCCATATAAAGCACGGATATTCCGAAAAGGGTGGCAGACGAGTATTAGATATACATATGCATCTGATACGGATACATATTCTCGCTGTTTTAGAAGTGTCCGTGCTTCTTAGCCAAAAAAGTATCAGTATTTGATACAAATTCTAGAAATATCCGTGCTTCATAGAATGATTGGATTGAAGACAATCAGCAGCCAGTACACCACTTGGAGAAGAGCTAGGCCATTTGAACAATAAGGTAGCATTTTTTTTAAGGCTTTGATTCATTTATACAAGAGGTATACAATAATTTTTTTAGGCATCTCCAAGTAACTAGAGATTAGTAGATTGAATAACATCAAAAATTGATATGAGCTTGGAAAGAGTATTATTGATCTTTGAACAAGAAGTTCCTCATTACTCAAACACTACCAAAACCATGTCTTGAAGCACATGTATGCAAAACAAAATCAAAATTAAGTAACAATTCATAACAACCAGAGCAATTTAAGCAGAATTCAGTGCTTACTCTTTGCGCCGCCATGTACTAAGCCTCCCATCAAGATGAGCACAATACAGCAACTCAATATTTGGATCCGGCAACACATCCAAAAATTTGCCACAACCCCGTGGCAGCCCCGCGCTGAACAATGTGGTCTCGTATTTCAAATCAAACACAACCAATTCTCTAGGAAACGTCACGAACAGAATGTTCTTCCAGTGCGGGGAAAACGCGAACCTTGCTATATACTTGGGGAACACCACCATCGCCGGCGACAATGAACTGGACGCAGCACCGCCGGCGGCCACGTCTCTCTCCATCCTCTCCAATTCGGAAGTGTCAGGACGAATCTGGAACTCCTTGATTACGACTTGGTCCTCAGTGTCGCCGAGGACCATGACGGAGAGGAGGAAGCCTTTGAGGCCTAGGGCACAGAAATGGCGAGAATCGAAGGGGTCGCGGCGGATGCAAGAGAAGAATTCGGGAGAGGCGTCGTACTTGAAGAAGCAGCGGCCGGTGGTGGTGTTGAAGAGGGAGAGGAGGGAGGGACCGGAGAGGGAAGCGAGGATCCAGGAGTCGGGTCGGGTCTGGATCCAGCAGAGGTCTTGGATGCCGGACTTGGAGGAGTCGAGGACGAGAAGTGGGGATTTGAGGCGGAGGTCGAGGAGGAGGATGCGGCCCTGGCGATCTCCGACGGCGAGGAGGAGGTGGGAGGTGGAGGAAGGGTCGTGGGAGAGGAGGTCGCGGCGGAGGGGGAGAGGGGACCAGCGGACGGAGGTGACGAATGGGGAGAGAGAGGCGGTGGAGGGAGAAGGGAGGGGGATGACCGAGACCAGTTGCATGGACCGGGAGTCGACGATGGAGAGGCTGCTGCCGGAGGCGTAGGCCAGGAGGCCGGAGGCGCTGAGGTCGGCGGATCCGCCATTGTTGCGGGAAGGTGGACCCGGGAGCATGCAGTCCCACGACTCCTGAGGTGGTCTTGGAATCGACATTGCTGTGTGTTTTGGTAATCTGCTATGCTATGCTATGCTCTGCTCTGCTCTTGCACTTTCAGGAATCAGGACTGTGATGTCTGTATAATCTAGATATATATGTGTTATGTGTATAGAGTATTAGAGAGAGATGTGTATAGAGAGTACTGAGAGGGAGGGAGGGAGGCTGCTGTCGTTTGTTCGATCTTGCTTGGTTTTTGACAGGTCGCCTCTCTCTCTCTCCCCTCTCTCTCCCCTCCACTACGAGTTTTGCGCTTATGGCGACAGAGATCACCGATCTTGACCGGGCCCGGAATTGGATTCGATCCGGGTCGATTTATAATTAAATATTCTTTTGTTTTAAAATATTAATCATTTATTCGTTTTAAAATATTAGTCATTTATTACAATTTTTTATTATTTCAAAATATTAATTTCAGCCCCCTTTTTCCCACTTTTTTTGACCTCTTCTCTTTTTCATTGGTTACATTTTCTTTTTCTTTTTCTTTTTCTTTTTTTTCCTACTCCTCCAATCACTACCCACCACGTGTGTTGGGTGTGGTGGAGTGGTGATTGGAGGGAGTCTCTATCATTACTCTTAAAATAATATAAATTTTTTATTTTACTATTCTTTCAAATTCATTAACAACACAAAAAGTATATTTATGACAATTGATATTTTTAAAAATAGTACTACCAGAGAATAATTTTAAAAAATTAATATTTTTTAAATACAATAATTATACTATTAAAAAAATTAAATTTTTCAAAAAAAACTATTATTTTGAAGCGGAAGGAGTGTTAAATTTTTAATTCATCTTTCATATATAAACACAAGACATTGGAACCGTCTTCATCCATGTATATGGAACACATTTATTTGTATGTGAGAAAAAAGAAATAAAAAATAAAATTATATGTAACGTTTTTTCTTTTTATAATAATTGACGATTTAAAAAATTCTAACAATACATACCTATAAGTAATGACAGATTCAAGATTCAAATTTTGGAGAGCAAAACACGTGTAACTTCTCATCTTCTGAAATTATCATATGGCTTCTGTCTAATCCGGGATCGGATTAGAAGGTGCTGTTGAGTCAGTAGGGGCTTACCACGGGTCTCGTTTTGATAATCTGGACCGTTCAATGTATAGAAATTATCGAGTATTATATGACTGTAAAAAATCACGTTGATCGGATATCGATAGCTATGTGATCAAAACAGTTTTTTGTCAACCGTTAATTTGTTCACCGCCCAATTTTTTTAATACGAAACTGATTTGATCATATAGCTATCGATATCCGATCAACATGATTTCTTACAAACTTATAGTACTCGACGAGTTCTACATATTGAACGGTTCAGATTATCAAAACGGGACCCGTGGTGAGCCCCACAAGCCCAACAGCACGGTCCAGTCCGATCCCGGACTGGACAAAAGTCATACCCTATAATATACATAGAGTTTACAACTAGTGGTAATCCGTGCCATGCACAACATATAAAAATAATAATAATATATTTTTATACAAAATAATATAAATAATTAAATTTTTGTATGCAAATTATGAAAACAAAGAAGATTGAAATTTATAATTTAAGTCCCATAATTTTATCACAATTTATTTATTATTTTTTAATTTGTCACAAATTTAATCATGTAACTTTCAACCTCCTTGCTAGAATGCAAACTTAGGTGAACTCAACCCAAATAACTTAAGTCGAGCTTAAAATATTTTAAAGATTGAATAACATAGTTTTTAATTAAGTGAGGACCTATGCAGAAATTCAAAAATTCAAATTAAATTTGAGTGGACTTGGGCAGAAATACCAAATAACCTAAGCAACCAAAACAAAATTATATATATAAATTATTTGCTAATTTATTTTTTAAAATAATAAATAAAATTAATTAAAATTTTAATATTATTGAACAAAAGAAAAGACAATATACTTAAGATTTTCAATAGAAATTTTCTTGAAAATATTTTTAAAAATACACCTCTTAGAAAGGGATCATCAAACAAATGGTTGTTTGGGAAGTGTCATATTAACTCACTTTTTTATCATTTTATCTTTTTTGGGTCACATCGCATCTCTACTTTTCTACACATCTTTTCGTAAAAAGTAAAAAAGTATACTTAATTATCTTTTTTGAATCATATCACATATTTTTATAAAAAGTAAATATATATATATATATATTTAACACTTCTCAAACCACCACTAAGCTGATATTAAAAAATTTTACTTTTTATAATGGCATAAATAATTTAAATATGATTTCTTATAAATTCTTTTTAATTTAAAAATTACAATAAAATATTAAATAGAATAAAAACAAATTTCTTACAAAACAAAAGTATTTGAATAAAAAAAGATAAGAAGAAAATTTAATATGGTATTTTCACAATATGAAAATAATTCTGGATGAAAAATAAATTATCGCTTATAACTCTTTTTTTTTTAAATAAAAAAAGTTTAACGAACTATCACTTTTAATATTAAAAAAAATTAACATTTCTTTCTAATTTATTTTGGCAAAAGTAACTTTTTAACAATTTAAACTAAAGATATCTTTATTCTTTATTTTAATTTTTTTAATTGACAATTGATGTTAAAAAAAAAATCTAACAAAATCAACAATATTTGGTTAGTACTAAAAAAGTTATGTTTTATTCTTTTGTTTAAAAAAAATTATATTAAAAAATATTATTATCCAAGTCCTTATAGTTTAGAATGATATAATTTTTTTTTATAAAATTTAAAACAAAAAATAAAATAAAATTAATAGCGATTAATAATTTGAACACATGTATTTAAAACAAATTATATTTAGACCAATAATATTATAACACATGTGAATATTGATCTCATTGTAATTGTAGTAATATAATTTGAAGCGAATTTAAATTTGAAATTTTATTTTATAATTTAATAAAGGATGCAAAATTTAATGAATTAATATTGATCTCATTCCAATTATAGTAACATCATTTAAGTAAGAATCCAAAATTGTAATTTTATTTTAACAACATAAAATTAATTTATAGACCAATCATATTGTAACATGTATTAACAAAAAAAATTAAACAAAATTAAAAAAAAATGAGAAAATTGAATTACAACTTTCAACTTCTATGAAATGACAATATTTTACAATTATAATAGTATGTACATATATAGATAAATCTTGAAATAGATCATTATTTAAAACTTATATATTATGGAATAAATCATTATAATTTTAAATATAAATTAATGGAATGCTTTCCGTATTTAGTGCCCTCAAATTTAAATTTTGAAATGGATTAGTATCCTTTCTATTTTTTTATTTTATATATTTGATATATTTTCCATTTGAAAGTCATAAATCAAGAGATATTAAATTTTTTTAGAGGATTTTTAATTATTTAAAATCAAAAAATTAGAAATTTTAATTTGAAATATTGAAATTTTCACAAGACTTGTGGTTAGAAAGCCCCTTTTACTTATATAATATATAGATAGATAGATTTAATAAGAATTTATATTTGTTTTAGATATTTTTTTAATATACAAATTATATTTTGTAGATTTAGGTATGGGAGAAGTCAAAAAAGACTTGTGGGTTGGGAGAAGTCAAAAAATATTGAGATTTTTTTTTTAAAATCAAAAAATTAGAAAATTAAGATTGGAATATTGGATTTCTCACAAGGTTTGTGAGGTAGAAACCCCATTTTCCTTATATAATATATAAATAGATTTTTGGAGTACATCCACACACTCCTAGATTATGAGTGTAAAAATGGCCCAACCCAACCAGGAGCTTTTAGGCACCCGCCAAAATTCGAGCTAATCCAGTCACGAAAAATTGCAGCCCAATCCCAAGCCCAAGGAAAATTGGGCAAAGCCTGGCCTGAAATTGATTTTTTTTTTTTTTCCCTACCAAATTAACCACACACAACTTTGGACAAAATGATAGGCTCTAAATAATAGAAAATGAAATAAAATATTACAAATTTATATCATCAAATAGATATAGATTATAGATGGTAGGGAAATTGCATCATGTTAGCCCCAAGGTTATTCACATTTCAATTTTATTGATTTTGATTATTGACAAAATATCTTGAGCTTATTTAATTATTCAAAGTTTTCAAAATATTCTCATGCCTTTTGTCTTCAATGATTCTAAAGAATATATGCTTCTAAATTATTATATTCTCATAAATAATGACACCTCAAAGCAATAGAATCAATACACTTGTGCACAATATTACTCTTGCTTAAAACATGTCAAAAGGTCGACACCGAAACATGATAGAGTCGACACCAAAAGAGAGTGAACAAAGTTTAAGCCTTCCGGCAGTAAAGGGTCAACACCCATTTAAGTGAGAGTCGACACCAAGACATGACAAGGTCAACACCAAAAGATAGTACACAAAGTTTAAGCCTTCCAGTAACAAAGGGTCGACACCAATTTAAGTGAGGGCCGACACCAATAACTTATGGCAGTCATGGCAGAAAAGAAAAGAAAGAAAAGGGTTGACACCCTTATGTCTGGGTTTCAAAACCTAGCCGCCATTCCTGATCCATGAGCAGACTTTCCTGACACAACTGACGAGACAAATCTTATTTTATTTAAAAAGAGTTATGGGCAGTAACTTTTGACTTAGTGGAGGAAGAATATCCTATCCACACTATTCCCAAATCTATAAAAGGTAAAAAGTATGGAGACATATCTTATCTCCACCTATCTAGATTTGAATTATAAGCATGGGCATCACATCTTTTGAGGAGACTCCACTACAAAGGCTTGATGACAACCTGTACGTACCCATTCTCTGCTCCAACAACTAGAAGACATCACCCATGCTCTGCTCCAACGGCTAGAAGACATCACTCATGCTCTCCTATAACAGTTAGAAGACATTGAAGTCTATAAATGCAAGCACTTCCCAAGATCTAGAAGGTGAACAACTCTAAGCATTCAAGTATTATTTCTGATTAATCTGTGCTGCACATTACACTTGTACT